GGCGGAGAGTCCTGCCTCACGCTCATCAGGGCTCAGGCCTCCCCACCCTCTGCTGTCTGGTGCTGGGGCCAAAGGCTAGGGAGGGGCAGAAGGGGAGGGTTGGGCCAATCATGCCCAGCAGCAGCATGGGCACCTTAGCAACATACAGTGACCAGCAGCATCCCGAACCCTCCCCCCAGCTGGCCACTCTCTTAGTCATCCACATGCACATCCCCCTCCACCCCATGGTCATTCTACAGCAGTGGTCCCCACCGCGGTGCCCACGGGCGCCATGGCGCCTGCCGGGGCATTTATGTGCACCTGCTGAGTGACCAGGACCATCCCAAGCCATTCTTGCACCCGGGCGCACGGCAGTCCCAAAAGGTTGGGGACCACTGTTCCACGCTAGCAGACTGCCCACTTTCTGTCTAAAGTCTTGAAAACATGGCCTTACGCCACTCCCTGCAGATAGCCAGAAACAATTATCCTCATAGGTGTGAACAGCTGGAAGCGGCCAGGAGTCCTGTGGCACCTTAGAGACTAACTGAAGTGTAGGAGCAGAAGCTTTTCATGCATCTGAGGAAGTGGGTCTTTGCCCACGAAAGCTTATACTCCTACACTTCGGTTAGTCTCTAAGGCGCCACAGGACTCCTCGCCGCTTCTGCAGGTTCAGACTAACACGGCGACCCCTCTGATACTTAACAGCTATAAGGAGGTTCCAAATCTAAACATGATGAATTAACTATCATCAGCATCAGCTATTTGACTCCTGATCATTACAGCAGGAGCCATTCAATGAAGATGCTTATCCCACATCCCAAACTGCTTCCTACATCTTACCAGGTGTCAACAGCCCTGAAGTTTCCTAACAAGTTACCACACCCCCAGGATTCCCTGGCCATTTCAGTGACATTTCAGTACAAAAGCCTGTAACATCAAAAACAAAGGCATATCTAATGTCAAGATGAGCATAAAGCATGGCTAGTACAATCCATACAGCATCTTCTTAGTTAAAGCATAAACACTGACATGCTGCGGCCACAGAACCCAGATATCTTGCCAGAAGCTGTGGCTCACGTTGTTATTTTACAGCCTCTTGAAATTATTTACTCGCTGTCTCTCTTTTTCTTCCTTTCCTCCCCGTTTTCCTTCTCTCCCCGCCCCCTTATTTATTTTTGGATCTGGACTTACTATACTGCAGTCATCTGAAGAAGTGGGTTGTGCCTACGAAAGTTCATGATGCCATCTCCATGTTTTGTTAGTCTTTAACATGCTACTAGACTATTTGGTGGTGTTAAGTTTTTCCTGTTACAGACTAACTCGGCTCCCCCTGAACCTTTTGTTTTTTTCATTACTTCAACAATTTGATCTGTAAATTAATGATTTTTGTGCTGGACAGAAAAAGTAGAGGGATCTCTTCCCTCCATTCTATGGGCAATGCCCACGTACCCCCCCATTTCATGACTAGATGTACCTGTTGGAGCCACCCTTCTGAGATAGTCAGTCCAGGACAGCACCACACGGGACCTCTTGGTGTAGCATCTCATCAGGGCCCTGGTCAGAGCAGAGAGCAGGAAAATAACCAGGAGGTGCAGCAGGGTCATAAAAAGAGGGAAATGGAAACTCTGCAGAAAGAGAGACAGACACCCTGTTACCCGACACAAGAGCCTGCGAGTTACCCACCGTTGTCAGCTCCCACCAAGTCTCCCTGTGCCTGGAGCCCGCATCCCCCCGCCACCCATACACCCACCAGCAGCTGCTTTCCAGCACCCCGCCCCACCCTGCCCTGCTCCCCAGAGACTCCTAGAACGGGAAGGGACCTCGAAAGTAATCGAGCCCAGGCCCCTTCCCTCACGGCAGCACCCAGCACCGGCTAGAACAGGGCCACAAGGATACTCTCAGCACGAGCCGAGAGCCG